GAAGATAAGTTACTTCTTTTGTCACATAGGGCCTACTATTTTTCGCCCACTAGGGAAGTGATTTCGGATGCAGCCACAGTTTGAGACGTGTACACATGGCTACAGCTGATTTCTCCTGCAAAATAAGATGTCCTCACTCCTTCCACCGCATCTGACCATAGACTGTAAGCATCTGACACGCGGTTATAGTAGCCGGAACGTCTTTTCTTTATTTACTGACACGACGGAAACACGCACAGACTGGTGACGAAGGTATGCACTTCCCGCTAAATCCGTCCCGACAGCTTCAAAATATGATGCATACCATAAGCCCCTTTTCCACCGAAGCATTTTGAGAGCCGGTTCGGAGCCGGTGCCTGCGCGCGAACCAGTTCTTTGTTTTTCGACAGCCAAAGAACCGGTTCTCGGCCAGGAAAACTGGTTCCCAAGCGGCACCAACTCTTTGCTGGACTAGAACCGTTCTTTTACCACGTCATGCTTACGTCGGGGGCTGGGCGCGGGTTTAGATGTGTTCTAAACATCTTTTCTGACCATAATATAGGATCGCAAAGCCAGGAGAAACATTTGCAGAAACACGATGTAGTCCGCCATTGTAATTGTTATGCTTGAAGTTGGCGCAAGCGTTTCTAGTTTTTTTTTTTAGTTTTTTTTTATTGAAAACATTATGTAAGCAAAGAAAAAAAACAGTCACAATATAGAACAAATAAATGGAAAGAAAAAAAAGACAAGACATGGGTACATAACATATCATAAAAGATTACATATCAAAGGAAAAGATTAAAAGACTTACATATTTCAATTGTTTTTAAAGCCTTCTTGGTACACGAGTTAGAGATAATCCCAAAGTAATGTTGTACTTGCAAGCGTTTGACGTATGGCTTGGCGACGTACACAGTGAAGTAACGACGTCGTTCGCTGGGCGCTCTAGTCAGTGGAAAAACAAACAGGTTCTGAGAAGGTTCGCAAGTTGAACCAACTCCGAACCAACTTTGAACCAGCACTAGTTCCGAACCAGTTCTTTTTTGGTGGAAAAGGGGTAATAGTGAGTCAAGGTAAGACAAAAACACGGTTTGGAAAATGGACTTACGTATATTTCACTTATTAAACATTTGAAATAGGCTATGTTTATAATATATATTTTTTGTTGTATATAGGCAGTTCATTTTTATTTATAACACGTAGGCTATCTAGTTTTTTATATATAGAAATTGATAGAAATATGTATGCATAATTCACAAAAAATGGGCAATTTTAAGCAACATCGTCCTTCTGCATGCAGCCGTCCGTCCTTCTCTGAAAAATTTATGTAATTCATTTTTAAAAACTGAATTATGAATTATGCATATACCATACTGTCAAACCATTAACACGGTGGCTGTCGTACACACGGGTATCTTTGTATGTCAACTCTGTTTGATTATTTTAAAAATATTTGATCATATTTAATTACTTTCTAAAAATGTATAATAAAAAAAAATTAAGAAACAGAGAGGGATTATCTTTTATTAGAATTTATTTTTTTATTGACGGTAATTCCTTATCAAATCCTTGTACTCGAGATAAGCTTCGAGTAGGCCCATCAACAGACGTCTAGAACTCTCAAAAGACCATCTTTAGCAGAGCTACTGATCTTAATACTGTGTGTGTGTGTGTGTGTGTGTGTGTGTGTGTGTGTGTGTGTGTGTGTGTGTGTGTGTGTGTGTGTGTGTGTGTGTGTGTGTGTGTGTGTGTGTGAGCATGCCACTTGAAGTGTGAACATCCATGCCTTCATTTGCTGCCTGTTCCTGGCATCACACTGTCCTTAAAAGCTGATAATGTGTTAATGAAATCACTGGCAGACAGCTCTTGTCAGCCGAATGTTCCAGTCCTCCACTGTGAGTCTGCTGGGTATAAAGCAGGTCTGTCAGGGGAGTGTGTGTCTGGCCCAGCCATTGCTTTGTGTTGTTGTTGTTTGGTCTTTGCTCTTTTATAATGTTACAGGTCCTTTCGCCCAGTCCTTCTCAGAGTGTGCATGCTAAATTTTTTATGCGGGATGGGCCTGTCCCCTTTTCTTTCTGCAGCACAATGATTTATTGCCCAAAAAGACCAGAGAACTAATTAACAGAGTAATTAATTAATATGAATTTGCATATTTGCATTTGCAATTAGTGCAGTCAAGTGATTAGTCTGAAATGGGGAAGTTTGACTCATCAGATGTTGGTGTGTGTGTTGAACCGGAAAGCTCGTCACCAGCTGAGGCATTTTTGGAGGGGGACAGAAGGGACTGTGTGTGTGTGTGTGTGTGTGTGTGTGTTTCTAAACAACAGCATCCAAGGGTACCCGCCAATCATGCGTGACTGAGCCATCGCTGTCAGCAAACTGCATCTGTATGCCGTGTTCATTATGTTTTTGTTGTGCTGATAAGTGCAGATCAACCTGGCCGTCCCAACGAAAAACACAGCAGCCTCTATTTCACCAAAGATCCCTCATGACTAACACTCTGCATCAGGGATTGTGTCTGTCTGATAGGTGGCTTGCTGTTAACAGGACCAGTGAAATCTGTCAAATTCTGGTTAAAGTGTTTAAAGAGCCAATTAATCTCACACAGGAGCAGAAATGTGTTGTGTGTCATTTATGAGGTGCTATGCTTTTTGTGTTGTCCATCTGAGAGGGATAAAAGCTCATGGGGGGTTTTAAAGAGCTTCTGATTTGAATTATAAATGTGTGTGTGCATGTGAATGAGTGAGGGCCAGGCACAGGTTCAATAGCAGCAGGAGCTTTCACTGATAATGGAATGCATGAGTGTCAGGACTTAATGTGGGAGGAGCCAAAGCTCTGGACAATAAATGCTACAAGAAATAGCCAGATGCCAGAGATGGCCAGACCCAAAGTCTGTGTGTGCATGTGTATATGGCTGAATCTGGCAATAAACTCGTCAAGAACATGTTCAGGTCACATGATGAATCAAAACATAAAAAAATAAGAAAATATATTTTTAAGGATGGACATTATTATTCATCCGTTATTATGGAAATGGAAAGTATTATACATTATTTTCATGACAATTAAGCATATTTTTCCTTCAGTTATCATATAATGCAAAAAATCAGTCTCGTTACCAAAAATAACTATAGAAAATTATAATATTAATTTATTTAACTTATATTTATATGTATGGTGTGTATGTATTTATAATGTTACAAAATATTTATTATTTCAAATAAATGCTGTTCTTTCGGACTTTATATTCATCAAAGAATTTTAAAAAAATGTCACAGTTTCCACAAAAATATTAAGCAGCTGAACTCTTATATTATGGTTTCTGACGGATCATGTGACACTGAAGACTGGAGTAATAATGCTGAAAATTCAGCTTTGATCACAGGAATAAATGACATTTATTAATACATAAAATATATTCCAAATTTCAAATATAAATCTGTTATTTCAAATTGTAGTAATATTTCACAATATTACTGTTTTACTGTATTTGATCATTGAATGCATAAGAGACTTATATTATGTAACATGTATAAATTGTATTTGTTGTATAGCACTTAATTTATACTAATTTAAATAAAAATATTAGATGTAGTGCAGTACAAATTATGGTATAACCATATTACAATAATGAGAATGACCAAAAGGAAATAAAAAAACATCCGGATACACTGCATAATTTGAGGGGGAAGCATCACAATGTCATAATCTGAATAATAATAACAAAATAATGCTCCTAAAATAAGCTTTTTCTTTATGCACAGTATAACTTTGTGGAGTGAAACGTGACCTGGACCTGTTTTCGTTAGATTCATTCGCATACTGAGTGGTGTGAATGTGGATGTCTGTGTTTGTGTGTGAGGGAGGTGGGGAGGGATGGTGTGAGTGTGTGTGCGTGTGAGAGAGAAAGAGAGAGAGAGTGTAAACAAAAAAAAAAAAAGATTTACGTTCATATGTAGAAGAAATAAGAACGAAAACAGCTGTTTAAAATCTCAGAATCCCTGTTGACTGGCTATATTTATTCACTGTCAAACAGTGAATTTATCTCAACTTAATTATTTGATTTACTTGGTCAAAGCATGATGTTTTCACTTTATATAAGTGAACTTCACTGCAGAAAATGGCCTGTACGATGATGACAGACAGTAGGATCAGTAATTTAGCAAACGCCCTTGAAGAGGCTGACCAAGCAAACAAGAGCCATCAATCATCCAGTTCTTGCTGTCATTCACCAGCATTCCTTTTCCATGTTTACAGGATATACCTGATATAAATCACAAACTATTTTTGTCTCAATTCCACTTATAGGTGTGTTTGCATGAAAATCTATAACAGCAAAGACTAAGAAATGTCATTCCCTGACCGCTTCACAGCATTCCTGTTTATCATGGCATCAGATTCTAATGGTGGATGCTGGTGGTCGGTCCTTGTTTGAGGCTGCTTTGTGGCTTTGCAGTGGTACGCAGCTCGAGGCACACACCAGATGATCAGGGGAGGAATACAGGTCCCCCGGGAGCCGGTCACGTGACCAACCCGTGCCACGTGACGTCAGCGGCAGATGGCATGGGTACCAGCTCTGGCAGTTGGCATCAGTGTCATTTCTCTTAGCGCGAGACAAGGAGAACAGTGGGGAGGTGAGAAAAACGCACGAGCTGTTCACCTGCTAAAACGCCTCGCGGAAAAAAAAGTTCATATGAAGGAAATATGAAAACTGACATCTAACATCATATTCCAGGTAAGGATTGACATCCGTGCCGAACGACTATGTCTTTTATTTTAACCAGATTTGAATGGCTTATATCTCATGCAATATCACACATGAATACAAGTTTATATATTTTATTCCTGTTGCATTGTTTGTTGCAGCTGTGTTTATGTCAATGTACATTGATTTGATTAGAGGATCCGTATCACTCAAATGGAATTCTGTGATAATTATTTGTTATGTTAGTGCAGCATTGTATTTATTGAGCACCTGGTAATGTTTAGGCTGTTGTTTTTAAATCGCTGCTGATTGATTCAGAAGATCTATTATCTTCTCATCATCCCCAGTAAGAGCACAATGCTGACTCTTCCGTTTGAGGATCCTGTCATAATGGACACCCAATTCGGGGCAAACTTTCCACGGGACTGCGTGGGTGAAATGAAGGTCAATAAACAAGAGCCGTTTAAAAAGGAGGAGACGCTCTCCCACGCTATGGAGGACGAGGATTCGGAGAAAGACGAGGACGAAAGGGAGGACGGACAGGACGAGAACGGTCTGCCTCGGAGGAGAGGGCCTCGGAAAAAGAAAATGACCAAAGCTAGGGTGGACCGGGTCAAGATGAGGCGCGCGGAGGCCAACACCAGGGAGAGGAACCGAATGCACGGCCTGAACAACGCCCTGGACAGCCTGCGCAAGGTGGTGCCCTGCTACTCCAAAACCCAGAAACTGTCGAAAATCGAAACCCTGCGGCTGGCCAAGAACTACATCTGGGCGCTTTCCGAAATCCTGAGCACTGGGAAGAGGCCTGACCTCTTGACCTTCGTTCAGACCCTGTGTAAAGGGCTCTCGCAACCCACCACCAACTTAGTGGCCGGATGTCTGCAGCTGAACGCCAGGAACTTCATCCCGGATCAGATCAGCAGCGAGCCGTCTTTCTCTGGTAGGTCGCAGTACGAGTCTGTGTACGGGACCTACCACAGTCCGGGTGTGGTGACACCCTCTGTACCCTCCATAGATCCTGTCAAACCCTTCAGGCCGTTCAACTACTGCAGCTCCTATGAGACTTTCTACGAAAGCGTCTCGCCGGAATGCGGAAGCCCTCAGTTCGACGGTCCTATAAGCCCTCCTATTAACTTTAACGGGATCTTTTCCCTCAAGCAAGAAGAGCCGATCGAATACGGCAAGAGCTGCCACTATGGCACGCGCTATTGCGCGGTCCCGCCGCGCTCCTCCATCAGCCAGAGCGCGAGAGGCGCGTCAGATCTTCATTTCCCCTATGACGTTCATCTCCGTGGCCAGTTTTACCCCGTGCAAGACGAATTAAACACTTTTCATAATTAATGACAGAAAGTCAAATGTAAGTGAAAAGGACCGAAAATGCAGGACTTTCAATCGCACATGTATTATTTATAAAGTCCTTCTCTGATTTGGGACAATCGGATGTTTTATTATTTATCATTTTTGATTAAATGAAAGATGTGCTTACAGTGTTCCTAAATGAATTGTTGTTTTTTAACTGTTCGACAAAATGTGTGGTCTGATGGGAAAACAATCCACTAACAAGAATGTGTTTTACGCGGATGATATTTAAGTTTCATGTTTGTGTGCATTTTAATTTCATGGCCTGTATGAGTATTAATAGATCTAAAAATCTGTCACTATAAGGTCTCTTGCCCCGAAAGGCATAATTTAATTATAAGTTCATTTAAATATTTGCGATAAACATTCAGTAAAATATGAGAGCAATAATTGCTAAGGGTGCTATGCAATATATAATTCTCGATATAATTCTGGCCCTTTATTTATACACATAAATTTGTCTAAACAGTTTACACACAAAGTTCAAAATATAAAAGTGTTAACAAGACTAAATATCTCATCATTTTGTAATACATAAATGTGTTTATTCGTTTATGAAAAGTAACATGAAAAACTAAAAACATGAATTTATTTATTTCCTTTGAATAAAACTTTCGTTATTACTTACGAAAATTTCGTGATGTTTTACACAAGGCACATGTTTATATGTCGGTAAATAAATTGAATCAACCATTGCCTATTATTATTATTATTATTTATACGCCAAGATCACCAGGAAGAGGCCATTATTGAATCAATTTACTTTGTAGGTGACGATATTTACAAATATATGGATGTAATTCTGAAAAACGAAATAATTATGGTATGTTATTAATTTGTTTGTTTCATTGATTTCAGTTTGTGAAATTTAACTTTATTAATGTGGACAATTGATTTTTGAGCATCTTTATTTTTCAAATATTTCAAATAAATAGCATTTGTCTACGCATAATTTTCAGAAGGATGATAAAGGAAAATCACAATACACGATGATGTAATTATGCAACAGATTGTTTGGCAATTCTGTCTTTTCTGTAATGCAGAGTCGTCGATAAATATTGGTGATATTGCGTAGCCTACAATCTCGGAACAATCACTGTAAGCAAATGCATTTGAAGCATGTAAAATCTAATGGAAATGTCTGTGTGCTTTCTAGTGAACTCATGTCACAGGAAAACCTGCCTTAATATATTTGTCAGGCATCATTCATATCATGGACGTATACAGTGGTGGATTCGTGCATTTGGACTTTTCTCACCAAACGGGATTTTTATTTTAATTATTTTGTGTGAAAATGACTGAATGAACTGAAACTGGTCTTTGTACACTGTCAAGCTGTTTTGTACAGTAAAATAAAGTTTAATTAAATACAGTTCTCTGTTGAAAACACTGTTGAATGAATAGACTACATGTAGGCCTATGGCTATCTAAAATCAAATGCAAATAATAAAAAATTAAATGCATAGGCCTATCTAAATTGTAAGAAATCGAATAGATATCTCAACCTCGCTGTGTCGCAAGAAAAAAAGGACTAAGAAAAAATTAAACCAACATTATACAATGTCGCATTTCGTTTTAGAAATTATAAACCATAATGAACAAAAACAACGCTTTAAAAATGTACAAAGATAATGTAGACTATTATGTTATTTAAGTAGCTACAAATTCAAAGTATAGCCTTCAAATTGGCCTAGGAGATCATAAAATGTCTGTGAAAAGCTGAGGACAAAGGAATTTAATTTATGATTAGGCCTACCTGCCAAAATCACGCAATCCTTCTCGTGCGTTAGTTTATGCCTTTGCGACGCATTAGTCAATGTTAATTGTAAAATGAGATGTTGTTCAGCACTGGGTTTAGGAGAGTAAAGGTTGTCTGGGTTGGATCTCTCAGCAGAGAGCTGGACGGGGGCCAAACAGCGACAGACTGCGGATCAGGATCCCGAAATCAGCGATTCCCCCGCGAATGTGCATTGTCATAATTTCACCCCACAGTCAAAAGTGTGTGGTGAGTTCGATTCCCGACTATAATGCGTGATAATAATAAGTGAATGCAATGTGAACCACTTTCGGATAAAATGCCGAGCCAAATGCATAACAGTCATCAATCTTTCTATAAGTTCGCTTTATATTAGTAGCAGGCCTATAGATCTCACAAGACTTATTTCTGTAGGCTAATTGATTCCTTTTCACGCTTTCAACGAAAAAAAGACAGTAATGCGTTAATATTTCATTAGCCATCACGTTGTCTTAAAACAATTAATGCTTTTGACAGGTGCAAAAATTCAACATGCTCATTCACCGATTGTGTGCAATGATAGTTGATTTGCTGTGGGGATGTTGAGGTGTCAGATAAACCCCACAGTGGCGATATTTCAGAGAGGCAGAACATATGCTGCCCCAGAGACAAAGCTGTCAGGATCGAACAGCTGAAAAATGAGCAGCAACACTTCTCGATGCTTCTATAAGGCCGGTGGAAAGTTCTCAACAAGACTTGCTTTCTTTTAGATCGGTGTTTGTTTTTAGTTCAAAATGAAATGTGTGATCACTGACAGGGTCTCGCATGCCTTATTACCACAGTCCTTTTATAAGACTTCAATAAAATAAATGTTTTATTCCTAACCAAAACTTTTTCTTTCAATTCTTTTTCAGTTATTAGTTGACACTTTGTATATTTCTTTCTCCATAGTGGGACATACACTATATGGGGTAATTTGTCACAATGACATCTGTGAAACCGATTTCATAAGAATAAAGTTTAAAATAAAATGTAAAGTAAAAAAAAAAACTTGGAAAAAAGTGAAACAGCAAAAACATGGAAACAGATAGCCTATACTGTATAACATTATAAAGTTTTAACAAATGAATCTTTTTTTATAATTTGCACTATCAACAACTTTTGATAGTTAAAATATGCAATTATATGATAATGAAAAAAAGTCATAGTTAGACGACTTTGAATTAGGACGCATGTATTTATGTATCTATATGTTGTATAACCCTGTGGCTGGCCAAGAACTACATCTGGACGTTTTCCGAGATCCTGAGCACTGGGAAGAGGCCTGACCTCTTGACCTTCGTTCAGACCCTGTGTAAAGGGCTCTCGCAACCCACCACCAACTTAGTGGCCGGATGTCTGCAGCTGAACGCCAGGAACTTCATCCCGGATCAGATCAGCAGCGAGCCGTCTTTCTCTGGTAGGTCACAGTACGAGTCTGCGTATGGGACACACACACACACACACACACACACACACAAAGAGACACAGATATACATACATAGATACAAACACACACACACACACACACACACTCTAAAATTTAAACAGTTAAAAGAAATTCCTTGTGTTGATTGTGTGGTATATGGCACAGATGTGGGAGTATAAGAGTTTGTGGGCGTGTATTTGTGTGTGGATGGTTGGAGGTAAATTACTATTACCATGTTCACAATCACTCATCATAGCCCTTGTCCACGTGTGATGCTTCATTCTGTGTTCTGATGTCAACACTTCTGTTCCAAATCCTATCATTGGAGGATGAATCATACCAAATATGATGACCAAATTCAATCTGTCCACAGTGGTAAAGCTGTTTGTGGTCAGTTAGTTTGAATGGCCCACACGATTAATGTGTCCTGCCAGGCTATTAGGCTATATGCAAAATGAATTGATGTCTAAATTCTTGTTATGGTGTTTAATGGTGGGCAAACAATAGACCTGATGCTGCAATTCTAGACATTTTGCTATCCCAGGCCATGGGAACTAGGGCACCATATTTTTAAATAGCCTAGGCCACTATATTTTAACATATATTTTTAATGGATTTGTTTTAAGTGTAAGTGCTATAAGAACCAACAAATGGTTTATTTTGGTAAATTTGGGCCTAGCCTGCTTTTCAATTCGATACACGGTGTAACTTTTGGCCATCTAGCGTTTGAAGCCCAACTACAAGTTACTTACGCGGAGGAACATTGTTTTGTAATTACGTGAGTTGTGCATCGGCTCCCCTATTCCGCGCGGAAGAATCGAATGGTTTGAGGCTCACCGCTGTGTCCATGGTTACAGATGGTGGCTAATTCGTACGAATTCATACGACCACACTCATACGAATTAGTAAACATTTTTGTTAAATCGTACATATTTTACGAGTTGCCCAATATGAATTCATGCGAATGACCGCTGACCCCGCCCCTAAACCTAACCGTCACTGGGGTTTAGACCAATCAGTCACATTTTACTCACTGGTACGAATTGGTCGTGAGATAGCGTTGGAATGTCACTAGCGACATAAATATTCCTCAATAACGAAAGAAAATTGGATATCCGAAAAATATGGTCATGAACAGGTAAGCAGCTTAGCCGCCACTGTTGTTTTGACTTGTTGAAAACAATGGGGTTTTTTTTCTTTCGGTTTTGTTTTCCAACAAAAAAAATTAAATGTAGGCCTTGTACGTTAGCCTATAGCTTTACACGAAACCCAAATAAAAAGTTTTCATGGTTGTTGATAGAACAACATATATCAATAAACAAGTATTTTAAAATGCTTTGAATTAGTACTTTTTGGCCTCTGTTTTATGAATACATTCGGATATACGTTTTCGCCTGCTATGTAAATTTAGAAGGAAAGTATGATAGGCCTATTTGGATGCAGCCTGTCACATGTCACTGGACTTGGCCCTTTAGCCCCTGCTGGTCAATTATCTAATCACACCATCTGGCTGCAAGGATCATCTTCCTCTTTTGACAGCCATTTAATATCTGTTCATTCTGACTGAATCATTTTTTTTTATACAAATATAATATAAATAAATAACTATTAAATAATTATTGTACAAGTGCCCCTTTATTGTAGCGATATTAAAACATGCATTGGACTTATAATAATTAACAAAGAGCTAATGCATATTTTTTTGGTGCCATCACCCAATCAGCTTTGTCATGAGTGAAGGCAAAGATGGCAGATTTCAAATTGTGTAGGCTACTTCCAGGGCTGCATGCTGTTAAGATGCATGGGAATGCGTAACATATTTGTCCAGGTATCTATGTTCTTGTTATGTCTGTAAATGTATTTGTAATACCCACATAATTGAATACACACACTATTAAAGTGCAGGACTTTGGACGCAACCCACATTTCCGAGATCATGCTAAACATGCGATACAGATGTCGAGATCTCTGCCGGCGTGCTTCAGAGGGAGGTTGTTTGATTATAGTTGTTAATGAAGGTTCACTCAGTAGCTCTCGGTAACTCACACCTGAGAGCCTCAGAGACAGTTTCTGGAATGAATTGCTTGTTAATAATAACGGTAATTAGGAATGAACAATGTAGAGCTGGTGCGATGTTGATTTATCTGTGTGAACCCCTCTAACGGGTGGAGAAAGGGTGTTGTCATACGTTAGTCCCACTCCCGCTCGCTCTCTCCGTCTCGTTCCCGAAAAAACTCCACAAGTCCTGGGTCGCAGATGGTGTGGGACACAGAATTTTCCTAATAATCTTTCTTTCTTTTCTTTTTTTTTAGCATGAGTGCTTGTGGCTTAGGGATTTCTCATTTTAATTAGAGGGTTTAAGGAGATAAACCCCTTTGAAAACCATGTCCTGTGAGAGGAGGTGCAGGTGATCCTCCCCACAGAAGCAACCACATCATCAGCCAGCAACTCATTTGCATATTAGATTGGTGTCAGTTTGGCACCCGTCCTGGCTGAGATGAACGCCCCTATTTCTAGACTTGGCATGGAGTGTGCCCATCCTGGCACGGAACGCAAATGTGTTTTCAGTATGAGGTTTCCGGGGTACTTGATCTCTCTGTTATTATTCGGCCCTTACATTTGACCCACGAGCTTAACTTAAACTAAATAGAGACTCGCAGGTCTGGATTGGGTTTTTTCTCACTC